TGAGAAGGGCTTTAAGGAAGCAAAGAGTTTTGGGCATCAACGAGTTGTTAGCTGTACTACGAGGAATAGGGTTAACTCAAGTTGAGAACTCAAATATGTAAAGTGCGTGCTTAAAGAGGTTAGAGTAGTTTTTGACTTTTTGACTTTTGTTTATCCGTTTATGCATTTAAAATTCATGTAATGCACTTCAATTATTGGTTTATGTTATATTATTTCCTTATACGCTTTAAAGTTAACTTAATTAATCTATTTAGGTTCCGTCTTTATTTTAAGTATGCATAACATCATAAAGCATCAATAAGCTATGTTTTTATGCAAACACAGACAAGTTCGATTCTAAGCTAACCAAGTGCAAGTTGATAAGTTTAGATTTTTGCATTGTGCGAGAGCACCTAATTAAGTTCAAACTCCTCAAGTAAGTAAACAGGTATGAGCTTAAGTATGTCTCGCAATCGAGTGAGATATTGATGCAAGCAAGTATACGATATCAAGTTAAAAAGAATAAATTTCCTCCCTTAACAAGCTACACGTGGTCACATTACTCATTGTAGATGAGGAGTCAAGATATCTATGAGCAATTGGACGGTTGCTTAGATATCACATATTATCGGGTTTTCCACAATGAGGAAAACTCATGATATGTTATGTCACGATCGGTGGCGGATGCGGTCAGCAATACTCCCTGTAGATGAGGTTATGCCATGTTACTCCTTCTATGAGTTGGTTATTTTCATGATAAGTTGGTGGCGAACGGTTGTGCTAGTTAAGTCGAGGGCGTGGTCCCATCTCAAAAGTCATGTGATGAAATTTTATTTATAGTGTTTATATCACTCCTATTCTTGATACATTATATTCCCCTCTTCTATCAATGGATCTTTAGTGGTTTTGATTATATTTCATATGAAATTCATAACTATTTGACCTATGAGCTTATGATAGACCTTGAGTGTGTTTTCGTACTATTTGATATCTTTTGGTATTGTTTTTTACTTTTCACGAAGATAAACCACTCAAGACGAATATGGATTACCAAGGAAACCAATCTTAAAATATATTAAAGCACTTTCAGAATTGCACCCTATCCACATCAGCCCTTTTCAACGTATAGCCATCCACGTCAGCTTTTTAAAACAAGACTCTTCTTTCTCTGCACGGAAAAATTCCTCCTTTCTCACCCTCTTGGCCTCGACGCTACATCTTTTTTTTCTCCTCCCTCAGTCACCCAAATTATAATTGTCCACCACTACAGTTTCCTTCTCGCCAAATCTAGAGCGGTTTCATCGCTACTGATGTCGGAGCGTTGAACCATGAATCGATCGACAGAATCAATTCCAGAAGAGGTTCTACAAGGTAAGTTTTGCTCCCAAGGGTTCCAAATTGATTCCATGAGAGGTATTTGCCTTCTGCCCGACACAAAACCCTCCTTACAACTGCCGCATTGGCCCCTGCCTACTGCAGTAGTTTTCCTGAGATTCGGGTTCTGTAAGCAGTAAAAACCGACACCATCCGAAGAACGCCATTGATCTTGGGCTCTTCCAGTACCGGTTTTCTTCTCCGATCAGACAGCGGTCGGAACCGCCGTACGTTCAGTCCCAATTCCAGGGTCCCCAATGCAGATTCCGCCATGCTTTTTGCTTCCTCGACCAGCCACAATCTGCTACCACCGATCTTGCTAGATTAAATTCAATCTTTTCCGCTATATGAACTCATGTTTATTCTTTGATCATGCTCTTTATTATATGTCCTTGGGTAACTCCTCTCCAAATACTTCATAGCATTTTCTGTATTAATGTTGTCGTACTCTTCCAACCCCAATGCATCTGGGCAGTGATCGAAGTTAATGGTCTCCGATACAATGTTAGCGCCACAAAGAACCCAGCACGCGAAACAAAAGTGGTTCCTCTTTGCTTCACCTTGCATGCCAACACTCCCTGTTTTTACCCAAAAAAATCCTGCTACACCTTCTAATTTGTAATTACCCTCTTCCAACCCCAAATGCTTATTTTTTTATGCATTATTATTAGGTTACTTTTCTTACTCTACTGACCTGCTCTGATTTGGTTCTATCATGCTACACAATGGGCGGTTAACCTGTTTTGTGTTTTCTAATTTTTTCTCTTATCTACACAACAACTCAATTCATTAGGATAAACAAGCATTTTAAAGCCAATAAACATGCACTTTATATAAGCATGCCCCTTAATTAAGATGAGCACTAATATTTGATTAGCAGGCACTATTGTTAGCATTGGAGATTTTTCCCAAAGGTCAACTACAACGATTTATTGTTTTGTAGTTGTTATATGATCTTTTTAATGATATTGTTTCTTATAGGTGCTGGGATCAACCTGGGGCAAGAATTCAAAAGCTCGATAGAGTTTCTACAGGCGAGTCCTTTTGCAACTCCATCTTTCTTTGGCATGGAGACTTTGGAAGGGGCGGTTCTAGGCTACCTATGACGGCACTTAAGTGTTATGACGGTAGGAGTGATTTTTTTTATGGATCTTACTTGAAGTTACAGAAGTCAGATTGTTGCAGGGATCGCCTGCTCCTAATGGCCTGGGCGGTGGATTACTTGAAGTTACAGAAGTCATATTGTTACATGCTCCTAGATGTTTTATTAGGGCTGCACATTTTTAGTAAAAACAAGCTCTTTCATCAGTAGTTACACGTTAGGTTGACCATCGCATTTGATTATTCTAATTTTTGTAATTTTACCTTTCTTTTTACCATTGTAATAAATAAAAAACTACTAATCCTCAAACAATGGTTAGAAGAAAAGGATGTTTCAGCTCTGAACGCATATTGAGCAAATATAGACTTCTTCCCTTACACCAACGAGCTCAAAGTACAAAATAATCCGCACAATAATAACCTGCCCATCGGGCGAGCTCAAAGCTAGTAGATCATAAGACGAATAATGATTGAAGCTAACTTTAGTACCTCATTAATGACGTGGATTTCTGTTATTAAAAGCTATATTTCGTAGCAAATAAGCTTTTACAATGCCACAAAGTCGTTGGGCGCTATTTTAAATACTAGCGTCACAAAAGAATTGTGCGACGGCTTTTGTGATGGCTACAATCATCTCTAAGCCATCACAAAATTAATAATTTTGTCTCTACTACCTTTGAAGTTGACAAAACTGACAACATTGTTTTCTTTTCGGACGACATATAGTCGTCACTAGAATTAGCAAGGTCATCAGTAGACATTGCGGTTGTCATTGTGATACGCCCATATTGTTTGTTCTCCATCTTGCCTTACCAATCTTTATCAGAAATCATAGTGCCCCTACGCATCACCACCCAAATAGAAGCAACATAGGGGTTGGTTGAACAAATTCTTAAATGAATATACAGGTTAATGTAGATAGATCTAACCATACTTACCAATACAAATTATATGTTAATATACCTAGAAGATTAAATTGAGAAATTAATTTTATCCAAACTTAGTAATCCTTATTACTATATGATCGATTAAGTTAGATTAACCTATACCGGGCTTATACTAACTGACTTACATGCATAGCGCATGCTGAATGCAAGAACAACGGTACAACCCATTGCTATAAGAACCGAACCGGATCAACGGATGGGTCAATAGAATCGCCAACCAGTTGCGATAGCGGTCCGATTCATTGTTTGGACGGTTATTGATGAACCAAGCGGTATTTCACGGTTCAACATTAAACCAGATGAACAACCACGGTTTAACTGGTTCACTATTTGAAACATAATTTTTTAAAATACTTTAATGTAAACTAAGAACATCAAACTATGATTATTAATAATATACATGCTTCCTCTTCTCGGTTTCCAACCGTGTTATCGACTTTACGTGGCCTATTACCAACTGACAACATAAATTTTAACTTCAATTGAAAAATTATGATTTATTTTGTGAGACGGTTGAATGATTTATTTTATATTGTCGTGATGATGTCAATTTGAAATTATTTATGGTCCACGATATCATTCTTAAATTAGTGTAATATACAAGTTTTGTATGTTATATATCATGAATGGTTCTATTAATGGCTAACCAACAGTTTTATAATGGTTAAACACTGAACCGTAAACCACTAATTTTTCCGGTTCAGCCTCCGATCCGGTTCTAAAAAAGAGGTACTACCATACATAAACGGCTTAGATGAGCTTAAAACTAATTATTTCTTCTCAAAAACTTGTCTTACCATGCACATAGCAACCCTTGCAGTTTTAACTAGGGATAGAAATAGGGGTGGGTGCGGTTACCGCCTCACATTTTGCGGGTACCCACACCTACAAATTTATAATTATGCTACCCACAACTCGCACCGCAGTGATCAGTGGGTAACCACTACCCACTGTGGGTTTGTGCGGGTTGGGTGTGGTTACCCACAAAAATCCATCTTTGCAAGTATAGAGTTCTAGTCGCCACTAACGTATTTATTACGTTGTTCATAACTAGACTATAGTGATACACATGACTTGTGTTGTTCGTGGAGATACAATTTTGTACATCGATCTTACTCAACGTGGAGATTTTTTCTTTTTGAGTTTGTATTCAACTTTTGTGTCAGAGAGTTGTGATTTCATATTTCCCCGACTAGGGGTGAAATATGACAATTAAATATGATCTTGTATTTTTTCACACTAAAACAAAACATATACAGATAAAAGTTACAAAAGGTGTTCACATTTAATGAATTAATTATTCTCCACTCTATCGATTATAGTGTTTTATAAACTAAAAAATTCTTACACAAAACTGATTAGATGTGCCTTTTTTATTTGGCGCTACTTTAATTTTTATCCTCGCACTTTTCACATACTATTATATTATAAAGTTAATTCACTAAAAAAATATAATTAGTGTGGTTATTGTGGATTTTGTGGGTTAACCGCGATGGGTAGTGGATAACCACTAACCACAAAAATCGTTATTTTACTACCCACAACTTGTGGGTATTTTTTTGAGGGAAAGGAGGGAGCGCACCTCCTGTAGTTTATTAATTATGCCAAATGGCTCAAATCAGAGTACAACTCATTCAAAACGAATGAGGGGGGAGAGCCTAACCAGCTATTACAATCAAAAGCATGCATAGAATAGTGAGCAATCTTGTGTGCTACTGTATTTCCTTCTCGGTTGGTATGCCTCCAGGCTCGACAGTCACGCATCCCGTCTGAATTCCATATCATCTGACAAATAGTCCCTAACTCTGAGAGATCCTCACTCTGTTTTTCCAGCCTGTTTATAATAACCAGACAATCCGATTCAATCTCATAAGGGCCAAACTCCCTCTCATTCATTTGCTCCATCGCGAAAAGAATGGCCCTTCCCTCAGCAATCGGCGGACTCCAATTTTCGGTCTCCCTCCTAGCAGCTGCGAAAACAAACTCCCCTGTCCAATCTCTGACTACCATCGCTAGGCTGGTTCCTTCGTTGCCAAACCACCCTGCATCCGTGTTCACCTTCAGTACCCCAACACTTGGTGGTTCCCATTGTACTCTTCTTCGGTTCAGGCCTTCCCTCTTCACCTGCAGCTTTTCCTGCTCACTCTTATATTCCCGGAACATAGCTTCTGCCTTTCTCGCAATTTCCTCTTCCTCAAGCTTAGGGCCATTGAAAACTTGATTGTTTCGTTCCACCCAAAGAAACCACAACAAACAACAAATCCCTCCAATCGTTTCCTGGTCTGCAGTGGTTAGGACTCTGTTTAGCCATGCCTGTACCGTCTCTTCTTCAATATGGGTGTATCGATCCGTCCATAAAGATCGTCGCCAAATCCGCCTTGACCACGCACACTCCATGAAACGATGTAACTGGGTCTCGGCTATTCCACAGTAGGGGCAATCCGCACTGATCTTATCCTCCAACTTCTTCATTAGGTTCACATTTGTTGGGAGGATATCATGCATTACTTTCCATAGAAAATACCTCACCTTCGGCGGCACCTGAGTCTTCCAAAGGGCTGACCAGTCACATGCTACGGGAGCTTGGGGCGCCTCCTCTTCTTGATCATCAACCCCTGGCTCTTCAATAGGGTCTTCAACCGCCAACTTGTATCCCGTGCAAATTGTGTACTTGCCATCAGTTGTATAATCCCAACACCTGGCGTCAGCTTGCGCACTCCGGGGGATCGGAATGGCTCTTATTGCTTCACATTCAACAGGGGAGAACAACAACTCCAGCAGGTCCCCACGCCATTCACCAGAACCATGATCAATAAGATCTTTCACCCTGTCCAGCCCCATTTTGCCTTGAGGCCCCAGCGAGGGCTTATTACCTTCAAGTCCCGGCACCCATTTATCATCCCAAATACGTATGCTTGTTCCATTACCTACCCGCCATCGGCTTCCTCTACAAACGAGATCCCGAGCAGAGAGCAAGCTCCGCCAAGTGTAGCTCGGCCTATAACCCATCGCAGCCTCCAAGATCGACGAGTGCGGGAAATACTTAGCTTTGAGGATCCTGCCTATAAGGGAGTTTGGATTTTGCACAAGTTGCCACACTTGCTTTGCGAGGAGCGCTTTGTTGAACGCCTCCAGCTCTCGGAGTCCCATTCCTCCCACTGCCCGCTCCTTTCCCATAAACCTCCAATTCTTCCAATGAATTCTGTTTTTCCCTCCACTATCACCCCACCAATAATTCGAAATCACACTGTTTATCTCTCGAATGAGACTAGCTGGAAGTTTAAAGACAGACATCACAAAGTTTCCTTGAGCCAAAGCCACTGCTTTAATAAGCACATCCTTCCCTGCTGTCGAAATCATCCTTCCCTTCCACCCTTGTATCCTGTCTCTTATTCGTTCTTTGATAGGTGCGGTTTGTGGATTATCCACAACCCGCAACCCAAACTTCCACCCCCTAGTTTTAACACCTCAGCCTAGCTATTCGGTCTAAGTGGGAATTATTATATCATTTTCTTTGCATTAAATCGATTTCAACTTAAGATCGCACATACTATGTGTAAGTGTGACTAAATAGCACGTCGAAACCCTAGGTTACGCAAAAACTGATGAGCGCCACCGGCAACCAGCCGACGGCTACGCCAGGCACCCAGAGCGAACAGTCCCTACCGGCTCAGGTCTCCTCGCCGGTGCAAGCGGCGAAACGGCCGAAAACACTTAGTGTCGGAGGGTTTACAGGGGAGGGAGCGATGGTGGTCGAGCAAACCAATATCCTGGAGAACCTTGAGAAGGAAACAAACACCTCCCGGCCATCGACACTATTGATAGATGCGATGCCTGTGATAGCTGGGAACGCAGCGACAACCACCGCGCCGGAGGGGCTGGCAAGCCAGCCGCTCTCTTCTAAGGATACGGCGATCGTAGCTCAGAATGGAGGATCAGATGAGGATGCGGGAAAGGCTGAGGGAGAGATGATCGATAGCGATGGTGAGGGTGAACCGGACTGCCCTAATGTGAAATTCCATAGGGCTTCACCAAGAGGTGGCGCCAAAGATGGAGACTTGCCCTCGTCGTCCGCGTCCTAGGTCAATCGTTCCCTTTTCTGTTCCTGCAACGTAGACTGCAGACCATGTGGGCATGCACGAGACCGGTAATGATAGCTGCGATGGGTCAAGGATTCTACTCTGCTCAGTTCGGCACGGAGCATGATTATGAAAGAGCTCTGAATGGGGGGCCGTGGATAATTGAGGAGCACTACGTTCTCACAAGGATGTGGAGGCGAGGGTTTGAGCCGGGGGAAGAGGAACTGACACACACATTGGTATGGGCACGATTGCCTAAATTACAATTGGATTATTACGATGAGGAACTTTTAAGGAGTATAGGAAACTCGTTGGGAAGGTTTATCAAGATGGATGAGGCCACAAGGCTAGCGATTAGAGGGCACTTCGCTAGAATATGTGCCGAAGTCAACTTGGCGAAATCTTTGATATGCAAATACCTCCTGGAAAGGAGAAAAAGCCGAGTTTAGTATGAGGGCTTACACAAGATTTGCTTTGTATGTGGTCGTTATGGGCATGAGCAGGAAGTGTGCCCATCGAAAATGCTAGCTGCACCAATGGAAGGGGATTTTCTTGGAGCACATGTTCCACCCAGCAAGCTTACCATCGAGCAAAAACGCCCGGAGATATATGAGAGCTACGGACCACGGATGATAGCAACTAGAAACCGGAGGCGGCAACTGCCTAACCGCTTTGTCATCCAAGCAGCACAGGTGGAGAAAACAACTCCGGTGGCGAAATCCAGGTCAAGGTTTACAGCCCTAGATGACCTGAATGATGAGATGAGGGAAGATATGCGAATTCTTGAGAAGGTTGCAGGTGAAGTAGAGGCTGATGCAGCTGTAGCTGGGTCACCGAGGGTGGTCCTGAGGGAAGAGGTGGGTGCTACTTATACAATTAAAAACTCGGGTCGCCGGGAGGAGCCGGATAAAGCTAAAATACGGGAAACAAAACAAGCAAAGGAAGGAGCTGGCCCCAAAAAACCCTCCCAGGCGAGTACTAGAGGGACGAAGACAACGAACCAGTCCCAAGCTAGGAAGGGACGGGACGTGGGGGCGACAAGGTTGGGGAAATGGGGAAATGGTTCATCTCAACAACAGGGAATCACAAAGACAATAGTTGAGAGGCAGCTGCAGCCGCCTGAGAACAAGAGGGCTTCTCCGATCCCGCCTCAAAAAGGCATGAGACAAGCTTCGCAAGGGTCGGTCAAAACCGCTATGGCTACCGGGAACTCATCTCCAAAAAGTGGGAAGCCTGTAGCTCGCAGCCTTGACCTAAACATGGCAGTGGACACATCACCGGGAGCACAGGCTCCGAGGATTAAGAAACCCATTCCGGAGACAGGGACCCATACCTTGTCTGCGACGGACGTGGAAAAGGCTTGAGCTCCTTTCTCAGGGAAGTCTCTTTGTCATTATCTTTGTTTAGTTTGTGTGTCTTTTGCTGATTTCTTTTTTAATCTTAGTGTAATGGTTAAAATTTTTGCTTGGAACTGTCGTAGGCAGCTGACCCCGACTTCTTATTACATTTTCACGAGTTCAAGAGAATTCACCGGCCTAATATTGTGTTCATCTTTGAACCCAAGATCCGTGGTAGGAACGCGGATATTGTGATTCGGAAGATGGGATATGATATGAATACCCGGGTAGAGGCCAGGGGATTTGCAGGGGGGATCTGGGCCCTCTGGAATCCCAGCGAGACTGTAGTGAGCGTGGAGGATACGATGGATCAAATGATACCCGGGTAGAGGTCGGGGGAGGAGGGTTTAATTGCAGGGGTCTATGGTTCTCCGCAGTTGAGCCAACGTCGTGATTTGTGGGCCTACATCCGGCGGGTTGCAGGCAGCAAAAACAAACCAATTCTCCTCACTGGGGACTTTAATGCACTGCTCAACTGGGGTGAGAAGCAGGGAGGTGGTGGATTTAACTTCGCTGCAAGCCGATAGTTCAGGGCGGTGATGGAAGACTGTGGACTTGTTGACCTTCCTTTCGTGGGTCCACAGTTCACTTGGAGGGGTGCTAGAGGATTAAAAGAATGACTGGATAGGCCGGTGAGCTGTAATCGATGGATCCAGCGATTCCCAGATACATCAATCTCTCATTTGCCAAAAGTTAAGTCAGACCACCGGCCTATTATTACTTCCACCGAACGCCCATGCATGCAGAATAAGCTTCAAAAACCTTTCCGCTTCCTAGCGCCCTGGCTCCTTCATCAAGATTTTGACCGTGTACTCCAGCAAGGTTGGGGTAAAGGAACGGAGTACGGGGACAGACTGCAACACCTCACCATAGACCTCGGCAATTGGAACAAGAAAGTCTTTGGGAATATCTTTGCGCGGAAGAGAAAGCTCCTCCGCCGTCTGGGAGACCTGGAAAGCCGAAATGAGCTAAACCTCGCCCAAGCAAGCTTGACAGAGGAAGAGAGAATAAGAGGGGAGCTGCAAGCAGTGCTCAAGCAGAAGGAAATCCTGTGGTAACAGAAATCTCGAGCTCAGTGGTTCACCAAGGGAGACAACAACACGAGGTATTTCCACCTTTCAACACTCAAACGGAGAAGTTTCAACAGGATCAGGAAGCTGAGGAATAACGCGGGTGATTGGGTGGAGGATACTATAAAATTGCAGAACACGGTTCGGGATTTCTTCATGGGGTTGTACCAGGAGGACCCAAACTTGGTTGACCTGATTCCGGCTAAGTTCCCTCTGGTAGAGGACTCCATGGAGTTGTAGTATTGAAAGCCAGTACAAATGATATCCCCTTAATAGTCAGAACAAAGTCATTATAAAGGAAGTTGCTGTATCAAGCTTGCCCTCTTGTCCATAATACCAGTCTTCTCCTTCAAACCTTTTTATTTGTTCCCTACAGGAGAAACCGTTCTGTTCTCTTCTTATTTTCTTCCTTCTTCCTCCACTTTCTACCCTTCTCTTCCTTCAAGTTGCATCTATTTGATCTCCATCCTCTCCACCACAAAGCCAATTTATTTTCATAACGTATCCAAATCAACAACTCTTTCTTCACTCTTTCCCTGGCGCATCTCTTCTGAGATTTACCCACAACCACAACCATCAATAGGTTGACATAAGTCTTAAGCAATGTCAGATATACCTATCTTCCGTAAGGTATGTTCTAGATATGAAAAGTAATGTGCCAGGTTCTTTTATTTACCTTCGATTTTGATTATTATTATTTTACTTTCTTTTTTTATGGTTTTGTTTCTAAAAGGAACTAGAGAGAGAAAGGCGTCCGATGCAAATAACCTATTTGTTTCAGATGGTATACAAAAACAAATAAATAGCTTGTAGACGCAAATAACCTTAGCCTCAATAGCCAGGTTTTCTTGTAGCGTTGGCGGATCCAAATTAAATTAAAAATTAAAAAATAGTTAAAATTTTAACGAAAGTCCATGACGTGTTTTCATAATCTGGAAAAAAAAATATAATTGACTCAATTTTTTTAATTTATTTAGTGTGCCGGATGGATTATCAATTATATTTTTTTGTCCATACGAAACTATCACCGATGTGTTGTATAATCTTTTCCCCAAATTTTAGAAGTGTCCTGAGACACCCTAAAGCCCCATATATCCGCCCTGGTTTCATTGCAACCTTAAACCTCCATATATCCGCCCCTATGAAACCACTAAAGCCCCATGCATAGCCCTTGGCTTCATTGCAACAGATTCGTACATGTCCTAGCATCATGTATATATATTGAGATGATTATTTATTGCAACAGCCTGTAGTGTCCTTGCTTCATGGGGAACATAGAACAGAAAATTGATGCTTGGAGAAGAAAGAAGTGAGGAGAGAGGTTGTACAACGTGTTTGGCCGGTGGGATGTTTAGGGAGGGAGGTGAGATGGAAATAGATGCTTGGACAAAATAGTGACCAGTGGGGTTTTCCAACAAGGGGTAGGATGCCATTATTTATTGCAACAGCCTGTAGTTTTTTCTTCCCTTTACTTTCCCTATTCTTTAATAATTTTATTTACCTAATGTTTGGCAATAAGGGGGTGCAATTTCGAGGGGCAAAATACTTATTTACCTATGCTTTTAGTTGGCCCGAATACTTGGTTACCCATCCAATACTTGGTAAAATAACTAATGAGTCATTATTGTTTACCAAATAATCAGGAGGGAAAATGAAAAAATCTGGTTTTAGATTTCGTTAATTACTTTTTTCTTTATGTTTGATTTTCTCATTCCTTAATATTTTTATGTGCATTATGTTTGGCAACAAGGGGAGCAAATTTGAGGGACCAAAACTACCAGATTACGTGCGCCTTTAATTGGCTCAAAATACTCATTTATCTATCCTAAAGTGGCAAAAAACTAACAATGTCCATTATTCTCTACCTAATGGTCAGATGGTCTGTTTATTTTTTATTTCGTTTACTTTTCTTATTCTTTAATAATTTTATTTACGAAATGTTCCAATGAGGCCCATGACTAATACCAAGTCTTGCCACACGAAACCGGGGAAAAATTATTTAGAGTCTGGATATAGGATTTTTAACATGTTATTTATCGTGAGAAAATTATTCCCCATGACTAGATGTCAACCATTAGTTATAGTATTTGGTTGATTCTCTCGTGTCTTGATACTTACATTTGATCATGGTACTTAACAGATATTTTGCAAAATTAATTACACCTATTTTTTTTTCTTTTTTCCAATGCTTCGTATTTGAACTTGTAGTATTGAAAGTCAGTAAAAATGATATCCCCTTAATAGTTGGAACAAAGTCATTACAAAGGAAGTTGTTGTATCAAGCTTGCCCTCTTGTCCATAATACCAGTCTTCTCCTTCAAATCTTTTTATTTGTTCCCTACAGGAGAAACCGTTCAGTTCCCTTCTTCTTTTCTTCCTTCTTCCTCCACTTTCTACCCTTCTCTTCCTTCAAGTTGCATCTATTTGATCTCCATCCTCTCCACCACTAAGCCAATTTATTTTCATCACGTATCCAAATCAACAACTCCTTCTTCACTCCTTCCCTGGCGCATCTCTTCTGAGATCTACCCACAACCACAACCATCAATAGGTCGACATAAGTCTTAAGCAATGTCAGATATACCTATCTTCCGTGACGTATGTTCTAGATATGAAAACTAATGTGCCAGGTTCTTTTATTTACCTTCGATTTTGATTATTATTATTTTACTTTCTTTTTTTATGGTTTTGTTTCTAAAAGGAATTATAGAGAGAGAGAGGCGTTTGATGCAAATAAACTATTCATTTCAGAAGGTATACAGAAACAAATAAATAGCTTTTAGACGCAAATAACCTTAGCCTCTATAGCCAGGTTTTCTTGTAGTGTTCAGTGGCGGATCCAAATTAAATTTAAAATTAAAAAATAGTACAAATTTTAACGAAAGTCCATGACGTGTTTTCATATTCTGAAAAAAAAATATAATTGACTCAATTTTTAAAAATTTATTAGTGTGCCGGATGAATTATCAATTATATTTTTTT